GGGAGTGTATTGACTCCATGGACTTTTTGAATTTCAAGGTTGAGAAATTACCATTCAAATATTTATTGCAATGCCCGAATTGCAATTTTTGAAGGTTTATTGTTGTGCTTAAAAAAAAACAATAACATTTTTTTATACCCTCCACCATCCACTGTATGGAGGGTATATTAAGTTCGTCATTCCGTTTGTAACTCATCGAAATAATAATTTTTAGACCTAACAAAGTATATATATTCTTGATCAGCGTAAAATTCTGAGATGATTTAGCCCTGTCCATCCGTCTGTTGCAATCACGCTAGAGTCAAAACGAATAAAGATAGGAAGCTAAAATTTTGCATAGATCAGTTTTTTGTCTGCAGACAGATCTAGTTCGAAGATGGGCGATATCGTATAGCCCCCATATAATATCGGGAGGTATTCGGTATTTTGATGATTTCAATGAAATTATCTGAAAATCTACCAAAGAAGTTCCTTTCGAGAACTTTAGCCCCTGGAAGATGAAAAAACTGCAACCAACTTCAGACTGCTGTCATTTCTAAGCCACTCGTCCGACAACTGTTAAAATTATTCCAGTGACAGGTCATTATATTGTTTACAAGCGTACAAAAGCATTTTGATGAGAAGTTTCCAGAAAAAACGGTATTCGTGGTGGAATTCAAGCTTGATAGTGTTATTCCTTTATATTTGGCTGGAAAACCACAAGTGGCTATAGTTAGAGCACTCCAGCATTTAAATGTGAATAAATCTTTTGTGTCTCGTACCCATATCGCTCGTTACTGTGATACTGGTAGCGTAGCCCGACGTCAAGGAAGTGTGCGGTAGAAAGTATCACCAGAATTTGTTTGAAAAGTAAAAAAGCGACTTAATCAAAACCCTCGCCGAAAAATGACTCGTGAGCTGAATGTATCGCAATATTCGATTCGGCAAATATTGAAAATTAAGCTCGGGGCAAAGCCATTGAAATATATACCGCAACAGAAAGAAAATAGACTCAAAAAAGCTAAAGGGTTGCTTCGCTTGGCCGACAGTGGTGAACTGCCGAATTTGAATTTCTCCGATCTCCGATGAGAAAACATTCGTTGTCCAGCAGTTTGTAAACAAACAAAATGATCGTGTTTACTTGCCAAAGAGGTTAGCTTAAATTGTGCCTCTTCGGTTGGCCACCAGAACTTAAGCGCCGACCATGGTAATGGTGTTGGCCGTCATAACAGCCAATGGTCGAGGGTGTATTAAAGCCTTGGGCACGCAAACATTTCGGCCGCAGACCTTGGACATTCCAACAGGACTCAACACCATCGCACTCAGCAAGAGCCACCCAAGAATGGTTACAAAATGAGGTTCCTCGCTTCATTTCCAGCGCACAATGGCCACCAAAAATCTCCGAATACCAATCCATTGGACTATTGTGTCTGGAGTGTTTTGGAAAGCAAGGTTGGCACTAAAAATACCAAAGTATTGATCACCTCAAGCAAGCGCTTCGCCGGGAATGGGCTAAAATACCGCAGAGCAACATTCGGGCAGAGTGTGACGGTTTCATTGGCCGTTTGAAGGCCATAATTCATGCCAAAGGCGACCAATTCGAAGAAATCTAAACATATTCTAAAATTTGATGCTATTACCGACATTTCTTGCTTTCATTCAAAAAAAAATTAAAAAATTTAAAAATTATGGCACTTGACTTTGTTGTAGTTTTTTATCTCACCCTGTATATTCTTGATCAGCGTAAAATTCTAAGACGATTTAGCCCTGTACGTGTCTGCCCGTTTGTCAGTCTGCTGTAATCACGCTAGAGTCAAATCGAATAAAGATAGGAAGCTAAAATTTTGCACAGGTCAGTTTTTTTTATCTGCAGGCCGATCAAGTTCGAAGATGGGCTATATTGATCCACGATATAGTATAGACCCCATAAAACAGAACTCACCGATATTCGGTATTTTGATGATTTTAGAGACATTATTCACCGGAGTTGTTACAAATTTCGTATTTAGAATTCGAAATGAGAACTACAGTCTATGTCAGGAAATTGTCTATACAGGTCCAGTAATTCGTATAGGTCCTATACATCCATACCTCCCTATATTCGGTATTTTGGCGATTTTAGGTACAATATTAACCGAAATTGTTTGAAATTTCGTATTTAGAGTTCGTAATGGGAACTACACTCAATGACAGAAAATGCTCTATACAGGCCCACGTCTTCTTATAGGCCCCAATATATCAGTATCTCCCTATATTCGGTATTTTGATGATTTTAGGCACAATATTCACCGAAATTGTTTGAAATTTCGTATTTGAAATTCCTAATAGATACAACAACCTGTGACGGAAAATTGTCTATGCAGGTTCAGGTCTTCGTATAGGCTCCATATATCAGTACCTCCCTATATTCGATATTTTGATGATTTTAGGTAAAATATTCATCGAAATCCTTTGAAATTTCGTATTTGTAGTTCCTAATAGGTACTACAGCCTATGACAGAAAACTGTCTATGCAGTTCCTGGTCTTTGTATAGCCTCGGTATAACGATACCTCCCTATATCCTGTATTTTGAAGATTTTAGCTACATTATTCGCCGGATTTTTTTTTCAAGCTTCGTATTTGAATATTAGTAATTGCCTATGCACAACTTCGTATAGACCTCAATATAGCGGTCATATTTGGTATTTTTAAGATTTTAGCAGAATTTGTGTGGGATTTTCTTTAAATTTCCAAATTCTTTCCAAATGGTGAAGGGTATCCAAAGTTCGGCCCGGTCGAACTTACTGAGTTTTTACTTGTTCTATTGTTTGTTTGCCATATGGCTGACATTCAGCTTATCTCTTCTCGCGCTTACCTCTGTGAAAGTCGGACACAATACTTCCAAAAGATGATTGCATTTATTGTAGTAGCAGATAACGAGCTCTGCTTGAGTTAATATTGTGAATGTCAATAGAATGGAAGACACACTTAGCAACGTAGGCATATTTGGGACCAAAGGAGGCCATTCATTGAGGGCATTCTCAGAATTAGTCTAGAAACAATTAAAATCTGCCACTTAATAATTTGTTTTCATTTTTATTGTAATCTCCATTCAGTATTAAGTGTGTAAAACGGAAGGCTGGGGAGAATTAGCAAACAAAAAAAGAAGATAAGAAACTTCTCCATTGAGTCGTATTTCTTACATGCTCTAGAAAATATACATTGATGGTCGCCATAAATTATACGTCATCCTTAATGATGTAGTATCTGTCAGCATGAAAATTACTGACTTCTTTAAACTAAGGTACTATTTTGAAACAATGTAAAAAAAACAATTTTGGCATAAATTTTAATTTCAGCCAGGATAAATATTTTTTCCAAATCGATTTAAAATTTCCCATAAGAAAATCTGGAATATTTCTTAGCTAAATATAAATTGTCTTAGGTAATCTGCAATTGAACTGAGCTCTATATGGTTTTTTTAAACTTAGCCGTTAATTGTTATATTGTGACAACAGTTACTTACAATAACAACAACCATGAGGTAAACTAATATTTTTTCTTATCTATTGAAAATAACTAATGCAAATAAATAAACGATATGAATATCTAAGTGTTTACCTATAAATTCTGAAGTGTTTGTTTTGTTACAACAGATTTAGATAAACGTAGTTGTTATTTAACTTTTACATTCTATTTGCAATTATAAACAAAAACGCAATAAAAAATCTAAAGAAAATCTACATTTGGGATATGATTCCTCTTAAAACTCCTATTCCGCCAACCTGAATGAAGGATTTCCTAATGGAAAACCTCATTTAGCCAGGCTGAATTGCAGATTTCCTAACGAAAATCCTATTCAGCCTGGCTGAATGGGAGATTTACTAACGAAAATCCTATTCAGCCTGGCTGAATGGGAGATTTTCTAACGAAAATCCTATTTAGCCAGGCTGAGTTGTAGATTTTCTAACGAAAATCCCATTCAGTCAGGCTGAATTGTAGATTTCCTAACGAAAATGAAGGATTCCTAATGGAAAACCTCATTTAGCCAGGCTGAATTGCAGATTTTCTAACGAAAATCCTATTCAGCCAGGCTGAATGGGAGATTTTCTAACGAAAATCCTATTCAGCCAGGCTGAATGGGAGATTTTCTAACGAAAATCCTATTCAGCCAGGCTGAATGGGAGATTTTCTAACGAAAATCCTATTCAGCCAGGCTGAATGGGAGATTTTCTAACGAAAATCCTATTCAGCCAGGCTGAATGGGAGATTTTCTAACGAAAATCCTATTCAGCCAGGCTGAATGGGAGATTTTCTAACGAAAATCCTATTCAGCCAGGCTGAATGGGAGATTTTCTAACGAAAATCCTATTCAGCCAGGCTGAATGGGAGATTTTCTAACGAAAATCCTATTCAGCCAGGCTGAATGGGAGATTTTCTAACGAAAATCCTATTCAGCCAGGCTGAATGGGAGATTTTCTAACGAAAATCCTATTCAGCCAGGCTGAATGGGAGATTTTCTAACGAAAATCCTATTCAGCCAGGCTGAATGGGAATCTACGAAAATCCTATTCCAGCCCGGAGGGATATTTCTAACGAAAATCCTATTCAGCCAGGCCTGAATGGGAGATTTTCTAACGAAAATCCTATTCAGCCAGGCTGAATGGGAGATTTTCTAACGAAAATCCTATTCAGCCAGGCTGAATGGGAGATTTTCTAACGAAATCCTATTCAGCCAGGCTGAATGGGAGATTTTCTGACGAAAATCCTATTCAGCAGTCTAATTGGCAGATTTCCTAATGGAAATACCATTTAGCCAAGCTGGATGGCAGATTTTCTAATGGAAATACCATTCAGCCAGGCTGAATGGCAGATTTCCTAACGAAAATCCCATTCAGCCAGGCTGAATTGCAGATTTCCTAACGAAAATCCTATTCAGCCAGGCTGAAATCGGCAGATTTCTTAACGAAAAATCGAATGTAGCCAGGGCAGATTACATGGAAGATTTTGGTTTTTTTTTATAAAAGAAGTTTCCACTTACCACATCTGTGCCGGACAGTGCTGTGAGTATACGCATTTCCCAGAAATGCATCATATTCGGTGCCAGAGGCTCTTCACCCCTTACAATGGCAGTTCCCTGTGAGTAGGTTGGATGGAATGTCACATTAGGTCCCTCCAAATGGATATCTAATTCCGACTGCTGATGCCAATGCCAATTGATGCAATGATATGCCGGATCATCTTCACCACAACGACATTTTATCAAATCTGGAACATGACCCTTATAACCCGCCACTATTGTCGATTTGGGAAATTCACAATCACAATAGGCCGCACACACCGATTTGGATGAGTTCGAAGAACGTCCACGATATGAACAAGGGTGGGGAATTAAAATCACATCATCATCATCATGGTGATTGTTGTGGTGCGGCATGTTGGATGGTAAAATTGGCGGGTGGTGGAAAGTTGTAATAGCTGCTTTTTCTTTTGCCGGTGGGTGCAGGAACCAATACAGATATTTGGTGTAGAGATAATTGTTAAATGCCGGAATTAGCCGTTTGGTGCGAGCAATGCCGGTAAATGCTGGGGATTTAAATAGAATACTTAAAATTTGACCCGTTTTGACAGATTTTCTTTTTCTTTTCACAACGAAACCAAAAACTTCTACGAAAAATAGAAAAGTTCTTTTATGGCAAAATTACGAATTTATTGCCTTCTTTGTTTTGAAAATAAACAATAACAATGCGATCCGAAACGATACGATACGATGCGATTTTATTTAAGTATTTTGCATGCGCCTCGTTGGCCAGCCAAGACTTGAGTGATTCAAACAAAAACACGATCAGCCAACCATACCCTGTGGGTAATATAAGCAATGCTCACATTGAGTTCTAGTGGCATCGTGGTCGTCGTCGTCGTCCGCGCTATTGTCAATGTGCATCGATTAATGAATGATAATGTTTTGTTGTGGTTCGTGTGCACTCTACTCAAAATCGTAAGGTATTGTATGCAGTAGCATAGGCTTTCATGCACATTCCGAGGAGATAAGAAACAATTCTGATTAGTTATGTGAATATGTACGTCACATTGGCAGAATACAAAACCGGGAAGCATGTTAGCATTTTTTTTCTCAAGGTTACAGGGCCATTAAAGCTTTCTCAAAACTCATTGAAAATAATCTAATCTATATGAAATTGAATTGAAAATTATATTTAAACTTCAATTATTGGCTATAAATCCCGTTTTTATTATAAAAATATATTGTTTATTTAATTGTTATTTGTTAAATTCTTTGTTTAAATTCCACCGAAAAAGATACCGCATACTCTAGTATGGAAACAAGTTTCAAAATCTCCATAATTTCTTTTTTCATTCATATTTCAATTATCTGTCATCCAAAGTCCATTGTCATCAAAAACACAGACATTCCCCGGCATTCTTCTCTTGGAAAACAGTTTTATTTTTCATAATTCAGACTAGGTTTTTTTATTTGGGTATTCAAGTTGAGTTTTGAAACATAAAATAGTTGTACAGGTATTCTTTTTGCCAGACAGCGACTCTTGGTGATAACCTCTAATTAGAAAAAAAAAATGAAACGTAAATAAATGCTAATCGAAACCAGATCCGAGTAGATTTTTTCGTAGTAGATAAGGTAGGTATTTATTGACAAAACAATGACAATAATAAATACCTACCTTCATATTCGTATAATCTATAGCAATTTTGAGGTCAAATATCTGATACTGCATTGGAAAATTAACTGACTACTCAGATTTATTAGGTCAGACCTACTAATTGGTCAAAGGGAGCAAATTCTTTTTCTCGAGATTACCGGCCAGTTGGCTTTGGATACTTTGCAAAAGGCTCCCAAGTGCCATTTTCTGCCAGCTTCTTCGCTGACAGCTTTTCGAAGCATCGCTAATTGCCACCCACATCCTTACAACCAGGAAAGTAGAGGGCTGATAGAAAGTTAAGAGTATCTAGACCCTATTTTGTTCAGGTACCATCATCTCACTTTATACTGTCTATGTTTTCCAGGCCCCTATACAGTATTTTAAGAAATCTGACAGCATTATCCCCACACTAGGTTAGGTTAGGTTAAAGAATGCGCGGTTGTATAAACAATCACTCCACTCGGAGACCTATTGGTCCATTGTGTTCATCCAAATTAAAAGAAGATAGGAGAATAGAACAAGGAAGGAGTAAGAAACAAATAATGGATAGTGAAGAAGCGAGAATCTGAATAAAGAGAAGATAAGTTAGTAGGTTTGCATCCACGGTGTAGTCAGCGTATCGTCCTCAGCCATTTTAGTCTTCTGGCTAACTGAAGAATGACTGCTGGTTCGATGTTGGAGAGAGAAGACAAGTCGGGCAGAATTTTCTAACCCAGTAGCCTATGTCTCACCCCTATAAGAGTTGGGCAGTGGCAGAGTAAGTGTTCCACCGTCTCAGTTTCCTCCTCGTCCTGATAAAGCCTGTAGTATTCAGTATCGTCATTCCCCATTTGAATGTCATGACCTTTATTTGGCAGTCTCCCGTAATTAGGCCCACCACAAAAGCTTCAAGTCCAGCTTGGTGATAACCTCTACCTCGTCATGGATATGAGTGACCTTGATCTCCTTTCGGAATTCACCGGTCAAATCTTTTTGGAGACATTACATCCATTTCCAGTTAGCCAAATCTGTTGCAATCTCCCAATAAAGTGCTTATGCAGTACTTGGAAGAAGTGGTATAATGGTGGCTTTACTGAGCACTCAATCTCTAGATCTCAGATCCGCGTCTGGCCAATTCATCGGCCGATTCATTGCCATATATGTTGGAGTGTCCCGGGACCCAACAAAGTTTGACAAACGACTTAACCTTGTAGAGAGCATTCCTGCATTGCAGAACTGCCATAGATTTAATTGTAAAAGAATTTAGAACCTTCAGGGCCGCTTGACTATCGACATGTTCTATTTGCCAGCAACTCTATGGCCTTCCTGACAGCAAAGATTTCTGCCTGAAAATCGCTACAGTCGTTGTTTAGTTTGAAGGATCTTTGGATACTTAGACTTTCACACCCAGTAAAGACCCACAAAAGCTAATGCAAGATTTACATTTAGCCTTTTTTTTAACTCACTTTTATACTTATGGGAGTACACCTTATAGACGTTCCTACCAGCGTTAGATTTAGTTCTACTGTCTCTGTTTCATGTTACATGACCAGCTTTCCTAAGAACAGCCAGGTCATTAGACCACTAAACCGGCTGAGATTTCCTCCCAAGGCAGGTGATTGAACATGATTTCTCATAACTTGAACGAAGATTATTTGAACATAATTCAAAGCTGTCTCAACGCCATTGGTTGATTGCAGACCTCGTGGATCAAATATCAACACTGAAGTAAGAAATTAAAATTTTGCCCAATTTAGGTTTAGGTTTATAAAAATGCATGTTTTTCTCCCCATTTGGTGACTTGAAAGAATATCATATTGTGACTTAAAAAAGAAAACAAATTTCAGATACCTTCCTGTTTATATTGGGGAGGGTTATGTCATAGACTTCCCCCATTACAAATTCGAACATTTTTATTTAGAATAAAATTGAGTATTAACTCACCTCTTACGTCCAGGACGCCCATTTGTGGTGGTCCCGGGTCTTCGTAAGGCATATAGATTGAGGATATCAGCAGGAATTTGCCACTACTACTACCTCCATCAAGACTTACGTTGGTGATGTCTCTGAAATTAGAAGGAATTATTAGATTTTAGTTTCTTTTCGCAACTATATAGGTCCTCACCTCGTCGAAACGAACACCGAAAAGATCTTGCCGTTTAGACCGAAAACCCTATTGTAAAAAATTGGGCTCCTGGACCGACGCGATAACGATGTTTGATGTGGGTGTTTTTCTAGCTTTCGGCAACCGCGGCATTGACATGATGCAGTTTAATCTGCATCAGGCTCAGGTGGAAAGCAAAAGTTTATCTTTTCCAATCCAAAGTTTAGCAGCCCCTCTCGACTTCTTAGGAAGACCTCCCCGGCCACATCAGTGGCTACTTTTAAAACTAACCCGTTGGTAAAGGAATTTAGGACACGCCAGTTTTCAGTGCTAAGACCAACGTTCTGCCTTTCAATGAGCTTAAAAATCTGCTTCAACTCCATTATAGGAGGTGGAATCCACGCTGAAGTCCCCATTCCGTCAACATTTCGCATGGGGTTTTCGAGACAGGCATGGCGGCGACATTGCTGCCTTCCTTAAGAGATTCAAGGCCATTAAAAGCGGCAATTAGGAACTCATCGGATTCCTTATTGTCACAAGTAGATTGAACCTCGGTCAATACGCACGTTGCTCTGTTCGAGCTCATCCGACAGGAAGACATACCGGATCGTGCCCAACGGGTTCGGCCATATCAATGACTGCTACTTTTAGGTCATCTGGTGCCATCTCTTGAGCAGTTTGTTGATCCTAATTCGGCTTTGGGTCATAAGCGGTAGAGTTCGGCCTTGCTATCAGTATGCCTCCCACTACCCTTTTTTGCCAAGAGATGGACTGTTGAACCGTTTGCATCGTTATCGTTCTCTTCACTTCAGGTTCCTGCCACTCAGTTGACCGCACCCTCTACACAGCCATTAGCTGAGATTAAGTCGAGGCTGCTACCTTCGACGAAACTGGCCACTCAGCAGACATAAGGCTGTTGTGCCCGCTCGTTGAAGCCGACTCTGCCCTCTACACCTGTTGATTTACCTCCTTCACCGTTATTACGGTTAGAGTTGATGAAGTAACAAATGAGCTCGACCGTGTCAGTTTTGAGGGTTTAGAGGACGACTTCGATTTTTCTTCTTCTTCTTCTTTTTCGCAGCCTTTTAGGGATATGCTCAGGTCCAATCTCTTCCGTTCCAGCAACTGATGAGCTCGGCTTAGTCAGTTCTGAGGGTTCAGAGGACGATTTCGAGTTTTTCTTCTTCTTTTTCGCAGCCTTTTTAGGGATCTGCTTGGATCCAATCTTCTCCTTTCCAGACGAGCAGGTGCTTGCCGCAGTCGTCGCCCTTTCTGCGGCCTCGACAGTTTCCACCTCTGTTCTATGGGTAGGTATCCTGCTTATAGGAAGATCCCTTAACGTCGCGTCGGGATAGTTCTTTTCGAACTTCCGAACAAACTTCAGGTTTTTTCTAATAAGCTGCAACTCCTTATCAGTGAGCTGCGACGGATTCTTATCGACATATCTACTACAGTAATTTACCGCCCATCGATATGCTTTTTTATCTCTTGCCTCTTTGAATTTGGAACTTTTGTTGTCTGAAGAATTCTGCGTAGTATCCATGCCCACTTCCTCGTCAGTCGAGGGGATTTCCCCGATTTTTGCAGGAGTGCTACCCTGAAGCTGAGGCTCACGCCTAGTTTGCGATTTCATTGACGTCATTTTTAGGAACCAAATTGGGTCCACCTACCTACTTCATAATATGTTTAATATGCGTCCGTTCTTAAAAGGCTTTTTAATTTGAAAATATTTTATGATTTGATTTTATGATTGATATTTTCTGATCTGATTCTGGAAACATATGAAATCAATAGGTGGCATAAAATGTTTTAAATAATTGTTCCGATAACGGGACCGGCACATGAAAATATGGGCCTTCTCAGAACATTCCCAATTCTAAAAAGTAAGTGCCTTTCAGTATGAGATAATCACAAATTAATAGAAGGCACCACAATTAAATCTGTAACACTTAATTATTATTATAAAATAAGTTTAACAACAATATAATGCATACAATGACACAACACAACAACAATCAATGCCACCCAACCTCATTCCATAACACAGATTTGCATTGACATTGCACTAAATAATAAAAATAATAAACCTGTTTTTTAATCTTCACCCAATTGTAGGGTAATTTTCCATTGCCAATCAACCAACCTATAGCCGGGCCGTTGCTGTAACACATGTTTACATATTTATTTATTGTTTACAAGATTGACCAGGCATCGTTTCGCACGGATGGCGTCTCCTCGCCCACGCAAAAAATTATCAAAAAGAAAAGTTTTCTCTAAGAAATTTGCACAATTAAAAACATGTATAACCTTTTTAAGCATCGGAAGTTCTTGGTTTCATTGTCTTTTTAATTGAATTATGAATAATTATTCTTTCCTAAAAGATATTTACCAGCAGCCCTCAAAATCAATTATTGAACGCTTGCCCTCACAAAGGTTACTCTAGATCGAAAAATGATACGTATTATTAGTAGTGTTATCACATTCGACAGTCAATTAAAGGCAAAAGAGCTTACACAATCGATTCGCGACTTATTGATGTTGCCATACCAATAAAAAAATAATGTTCGTTGGAAGAAATATAATAAGGATAAAGAATGAACTCTTCTTTTGGGCGAGGGACGAGAGGGGAATAAACTACAAAACTTGTTTGAAACAATTATTTTGGGGCACAAAGCATGAAAATCAAAGTACAAGAACAGTACAGAAAAACCTATAGAATGTCTGTGTCTATGGAAAAAAGGAAAAACTAGTAAATGTATAAAATCTACATGGCAGTCCTTCATAATCAATCTAGCAGACAATCCATGGTAGAAGAATACAGGTAGTCGCATCGACACAGCTGCTGGAACAACGAACTGTCAAAGCGATTTTGGAATTAAAAATGTTGAATGAAAAATTATTAAAATTTGTAAAAACTGTAGAAAAATGCATATTAAAACTACTTCAGACTTGCGCCGTATAAAAAAATCCATTTATTTTTCATAAAACATTTTAAAATTTTTGACATATCAATGTTCCCAAGCGTTGATGCATCTACCTATATTCTTCTACCATGAGACAATCAAACTCTGTCAATCATGCTACCGTGATACAAAGATTATAAGGTAGGGCAAATTGCTCAATATGGAAAATACTACTCTGAAAGTCTTGCTACTAAAACTTTACCATGGTAGAAGAATATAGGTAGAAGCATCAAAGCTTGGGAACATTGATATGTCAAAAATTATAAAGTGTTTTGTCAAAAATAAGTAGATTTTATAGGTGTCCTTATACAACGCACATCGGTGGTTGCTATGATTTGTATTTTTCAACAATTTTTACAAAATTCGATAATTTTTCATTCAAAATTTTCAGTTCCAAAATCGGTTTGACAGTTCATTGTCCCAGCAGCTGTGTCGATGCGAAAATTAATATAAGTAAGATTTTTTCATTATCTAAAAGCTGTAATTTGCATTTTAAGTTCAACAGTTCAATAGTTCAACAATTTGAAAATTTTTAACATTTTTCAGTAATGAATTTCCGAAATAAAAAAGAACAATCTTAACATTTACAGAACTAATTTTCCTTTTTAGGATGAATATGAAAAGATTTTAATTTTGGAAGAAGTTTAAAACTTTTTAAATATTGCTGTCACTTTATTTGGTAGCCTTGAAGATATTGGGCTTGTTTATTGCAAGTTTTCTACTCTTTCAGTAAAAGAACGACTTTCTAGTAAAAGGTTGTATGTCGACCTACGTAGCCCTCTTCAGTTGATTGAGTTTATATATCGTTCGTAAACGGCTGTACGCTAATACTGCGCATGCATGGCAAAAACTGTGTTTTTGCATTATAAGGCTATCATAAGAAAAAAATTGTATTCAGGTGATTTATATGCCCTTCCTTGATAATTATCGTTCTTGGAAAAAAGTATCAAACGTTTGTTGTTTTTTTCTTAACTTTGATTGCCAGTTTACTACTCTTTCGTTAAAAGAACGACTTTTTAATAAAAGGTTATAAGTCGACCTAGGTAGCCCTCTTTCAGTTGACTGCATTTCCTCATGTATCGTTCGTAAACAAAAACCATCGGCCGTTATGTATCCCATTCATTCGTAAACAAAAATCCATATTAACCATTTTGTTTTCTGTTCATACTTTATCAGACATTCCTTTTAATCATTTTGTTTTTGCAACGTTTGGAACGTTTTTAGCTTTAGTGGGAACTTCCTTCTGCTCTGTCAGTCTGCTTTCGTGCTTATATTCTGGAACGGCACAGCAACTGAGACTCCTGGAATTCGTCAGAATACTCATCTTAAAAGCCACATATATAAATTATAGATTCCAGGAATCTTATTAGAAAACGTGAAATCCTCAATCGGCTCATTAGCTAAGCATGTTTTATTAGGTTTTGTTCAAAGTTTTCTATCGGATAATCAGGTGGGTTATAATAACTTATTTGCAATTTTAAACCATTTAAAACCTTTTGTGTCTCAGATGGAACCAGAAATACGACGACACACTGAAATCGAGAATAAAGGGCAGCCAACATGAACATGCAAAAAAGCAATGATTATCTGGCTGATGCAAATCTTAAAAAATGCCAACAACCAGAAGGACGTCCTCAAAACTTTGCTAACAATTCAAACTCCAGTGGGAGTAAAAAATCTCGATTTGAAGAGGTGGAGATAAAATTGGAAAAAATGTTTGCTGGCATTGAAGATGAACAATGCACGAATTTAAGTAGCAAAAATGCTACTTCCAAATGCGAAACGCCATCTAAGGTTGTACCGGAAAAGCAACCGTTACAAACAAAGGCAGCTGTGAAGTCGACAGATTGCAGCATACCACCTCAGAAGCACATCCAATCTCACATAAAAGAAGCAGTGGTGCTGAAAGGCAAGCATGATTTGGATGCCATTGATGAGCAGCCCCTAAAACATTCCCCACAAGTTGATTGTGCGGCAACATCAGCAGCTACTCAATTTTTGGAGGCACGCACCACAAAACATGTTCCTGCGATGGTAAATAATGAGGGAAATGTCCAAAAAGGTGCCAATAACAGTTTTTCCAAAACAAAAATGAAAAAGAAAAAAGGAAGTTTAAAACTTGGCGGCCAACAGAAACTTAAAATGCGCAACACCTGCTCCTCTTCGGACAATGATAACGATGCGGATGACAATATCAACAATGCAAGGATATGGATGTAAAATACAGATCTCCCTATGTTGTCGTTAAACCCGGTGGAGATGTATCCGTTGTAAACTCGACCACTACGGACGATCACAATGACAAATCCATGAAATTGAAAAAGAATCATGAACGCAAAAATGTCAAAGGAACATACTCCTCGACATTGAGTACTAAGTATGATGCTGATACGCCCGACTCATCGTGGATATGTGTTTTTTGTAAGAGAGGACCGCACAAAAAGGGTCTGGGGGATTTATACGGACCCTACATTGCCTCGTTGGATATTTATAAATATCGGACAGAAAATAACATTGCAATCGGTGAGAATGTCAAAAATAAAGTAGTTGGAGGAATGCCGAACGCTACTTGTCCAAATGACCCCAATACATCTCTTGTAAGACCCTTGGCCCCCGAAGCCATGAAGTCAGAAAACCAACTACCCCAAGGATTTGAACCGTTGCTAGGTGATATGAAACGTCCTCTTCAAAATGGTCTGGCCAATGAACCCCAAAGCATGGAGATATGGTTCCACGAGGATTGTGCAATTTGGGCCCCAAATCTATTTTTGGTAGGTTCGAAACTTGTTGGCCTAGAAAGTGCTATTTGGAATAGTACACAACACGTTTGTGTCTACTGCAACAAATCGGGAGCCATTGTTTGCTGCTTGGAACGTGAATGTAAGGAGACGGCACATCCCATCTGTGCACAGGAAAGCAATTGGCTTTTAAATGAGTCGAAGTTGTGGGCGTATTGTATAAAGCATTATTGAGGGAAATAAACATTACTAAGGTATAATGAGCGTAAATCTGTCAGCTCCAAACTGACATTGACTAAATAAACAAAAGAAGACTTGATTGTATTTGTATGGATGCTCTATTCCAGAAAATGCAAGAATGTAAACACCCTATTACTCCACCATGATATAGGAAAAATTGCTAAACTATTAGATTCTTGTAGGTTCTCGAACAGAGCGGAAATTTTTATTAAATATGGAGTGCAAATTCTCGAATTTGTTGCCCAAGAAGACTTTGTAAAAAATATTTTGGAAAAATAAGATTGTTGGATTATCAAAAATATTCTTTAGAAATTAACGAAATTTATAACCAAGCAGTTTTTGGAAATTCCCGAATTATTACAAATTCACTATTCTTGACTAAAATTTTTTGACTAATATTTATAAACCTCAAAAATCCTCATAATCTTGATTTATTTATTTATTTTTTTTTTTTTTTTTGAAAAATATTTCCAAATAACTCAGATTTTTATAGAGTAAAGTGTGAACAATAGTTTAAAAGTCTAGACCTGTTTTTAAACAATTCAGGATATAATTAAAAATTAGACTATTCCAGATTATTAAAAAAACACACACACAAATTTAATAATGAATTAAAAAAATATGTTTAAAAATCCATTGACTTAAATACTTTAAAAAATGCCACCATTTTCAAAAGTATCATATTTTTAAATATTTAAAATCTACAATGATGAGTTTTTGAAAAACGATTTCAGTTTTTGAAAAAAAAAAAACAAGTAAAATAGCAGCTAATTTCGAACGGCCCGAACTTTTAATAACCTCCATCATTTAGAAAAAAAATTAAAACAAGAAAAACGAAAAACTGCAACCAACTTCAGACTGCTGTCATTTCTAAGCCACTCGTCAAAAAGTGCAAGAACTTACACCGCAACAGAAAGAAAATTGACTCAAAAGAGCTGAAGAGTTACTTTGCTTGGCCGAAAGTGGTAAACTGCCGAATTTGGTTTTCTCTGATCTCCGATAAGAAACATTCGTTGTCCAGCAGTGTGCAAACAAAACAAAATGATTGTGTTTACGTGCCAAAGAGGTCAGCTGAAAATGTGCACTTTCGGTTGGCCACCAGAACCATAATAGCCGATGGTCGCTCTCCGCTCGTATTAGTTGACCGTGGCACCAGAATAAATGACGAGTATTATCGCGAAAATATTCTATAGGGCGTATTATAGCCTTGGACACGCAAACATTTTGGCCGCAGACCTTGGACATTCCAACAGGACTCAGCAAGCGCCACCCAAGAATGGTTATAAAATGAGTTCCTCGCTTCATTTCCAGTGCACAATGGCCACCCTAAATCTCGGGATACCAATCCGTTGGACTATTGTGTCTGGAGTATTTTGGAAAGCAAGGTTGGCTCTTAAAAATACCAAAGTGTCGATCACCTCAAGCAAGCGCTTCGCCGGGAATGGTCCAAATAACGCAGAGCAATATTCGGGCAGCGTGTGACGGTTTCATTGGCCGTTTGAAGACCATAATTCGTTCCAAACATGACCAATTGGAACAAATCTAAATTTATTCTAAAATTTGATGCTATTTTCGACATTTTTTGCTTTCACTCAATAAAATTTACAAAAAAAAAAAAAAATGAAAATTATGGCGGGTTGTATTTAAAATATATATTACAAAAATGTTTTTTTTGTATATGTATTAATTTGAAAAATTCACAATTTTTTCTAGTCTGAAAATATTTGTAAAAATCGCCATTTTTCTTTTTCCGAAACCTAGGTATTCCCTGCCTTACCCCCTTGTGAACAATACCATCTTTCTCATTAACAAAAATATGTTGTTTTTATAAAAACAACAGTAATGGAATTTGACTAACAATTTTGCAACAACAAAATGTCTGATAAATATTAAAAAAAACCCAAAATTATTATTTCTTTTGAAAAATAATTATAAAAAAATCCAAGATTTCTACATACCTTAAAAACATACCTTAAAAAGAATTTATAAAAGTTTTTTTTATTCTCATTTTTAGTTTTCTAAACAAATGTTACGAAACCAAGTTTTTTTTATACTTGAAAAATATTTTATAATGACATAAAAGTACAAAGATTGGACAAAATGTATGTATATTGCTGTTTAATGTATCGATCAGGTAATAGATGTCCAAAGACATGCCAAAAATGCATTAGAAACGTTACAGAAATTTGTAAAACATCCACATATTTTTATCAGGGCTGTCACAGAATCCATGTCGGTTTTGCTTATTGTCGTTTTTGTACCAATGTTGGTTTCATTTGTTTTTTTTGGAACTCAAACTTTTTCGTTTCCAGATCCAATTGTCTCTTCATTATTTCCAATTTTTCCTTTTTGCAATTTAAAATTCCTTCGCTATACCGGACAAACTCTTTTCTTAAATCATTGATTGCCCTCGCGACTAACTCATTTCCTTTTTCAATAGCCCCATAAGTGCGCTTTAGACTGCTTGCGTTTTGTTGCTCTATTTTTACCAACTCCTTAACATTTGCATTTAACTCCAAATTGATTTCACTTTGGTCATCTAGAATTTTTTTTAAACGGCGCTTTGAAGATGTTGAGGGCATTTCTTCCTCAACAGAAACATCAACATCTTCCGTGAGATCAAATGCAATGCCGGACACACCTTCTACTGACTGCGCAAAGCCACATAAACGCACTATAGCCTTTTCATTAGCTGTCAACTGATGTTTTGCGTACGGTCCACCAGCTTTATTTTGCGCCATCTTTCTTTTCACTTCGCTTTTCCACTCAGTCCATTTCTAGAAAAATAAAAACTACAGATTAACAATCTTAGTTTTAGTTTTGTGGCAAAATTTGTTTACCTTCTTCCATGCGTTAACATCGTTTTGTGGTGGACCTGCACTATTTAGTGATTCTGACAATTGTTGCCATAGGGCATCCACTTTTGGCTTATCACACTTTGTAAACCCCCCCTTTGCTAGGTCTGGATACTTCTCCATAAACTCCAGGATAATTTTATTTTGGGTACTATTTTTATGCTTTCCCCTGCAAAAATAAAAACATCAATGCGAAAATATATACTTTTTAAGCAAATATTAAAATAAATCAATTTACTCACATTTTTACAATATATCCCAAAGTGAGCAAATGAAAAGTGACAGCTCTAAGCAACTTGGTTTTGTTTCCAATAACAAAACCAATAACATTAGCTTCTATGACAACCAAAACCGATAAAATTCTTATACGAAAATAAAACCAATAACATTGATTTTCATGACACCAAAGCATTTTTTCTTATCGTTTTTAAAACCAATAGTGACAAAATTGATTTCTATGACAGCCCTGTATATGATATGCCTTGGTATAAAACACATAATTGTTTTGGCGCCATCTGTTGAGAATTTCAGGCAATATTCTGCTGGAAAGTGTTTATGTCTTTGCTGTGTGTGTTTTTCCATGGCAATGCCATGATGTACACAAAGCCAAAAGCTAATATGGCAACCAAAGAAATATAATGGTAGTTGGTAACTCCGTTTTAAAGTGTTGCCAATCTTTTTAGAGATATGTTATAGCGGGAAACAAAATGATAAATATTAAATATCTATTTAGAAATACATATAAAACATAAAAAAATTAGTGTGTATGGAGGAAAAATAAACAGATACCCATAGAATAGTAACGCTGCCTGGTGGATTCAAACATTTTGAGGCCATTTTTTGGAGAATAATCATATTTTTTAGGTCTTATAGGGAAGAAGACTTCTTCGAGGATTTCTGAGGAACAGCGCTTTCTTTCAAGATTTTTTTTATTAAAAAAAAACTTCGTTTTGATGGTTTCTATTTAAGAAAAAGCTACTCTAGAACAATGAATCGGAAGAAAATCCTTTTGGAATTAGGGGTTTTGGTGTTTTTTTTTTTTAATTTATTAATGAAAATACATTTTGTAAGGTTATGTAATTTTTAAGGTTTTGACGAACACTTCCTTAACGATATATTAAATTTGAATAAAATATTTTAAATATTCGTAGACCCCAGGGCCCTTTAATTTTTTTTTTCGTTTATTAGGAGTAGATCTATTACAAATTTTTCAAAAACTTCAACCCTATGTGGGAGAGGTAGCAGAAGAAATGGTCCGATCTCTACCATCTTTATAACAGATATTATGTTGATGGAAATATTGAGATATGCCAAGTCTGAATGGAATCGCATGTGAATTTCGTGTTTTACGAGCTTCATGGATATTCAGAATTTTGACGCTTTGTGGGGGAGGTACTAGAAGGTGCGAACCGATATATTCCATCTTCATAGCAGATTTTGTGATAGGAAAAAATAATGGTATGTGTAAAATATGGAGAGAACCGGATGCTTATTTTGGGTTTTTTTAAACGTTTGGTTATTCAAAGGTCCAGGTCTTGGTAAAGCTCCCATATAACGATACCTCCCAATATTCTGTATTTTGGCGATTTTAGGTACATTATTTATCGAAATTGTTTGAAATTTCCTACTTGAAGTTCCTAATGACAATGCCGGTCCAGGTCTTCGTATCCTCCCCATATTCGGTATTTTCATGACTTTGGCGACATTTTTCACCAGAATTGTTTCAAATTTCGTATTTAGAGTTCGTAATGGGAACCACGGCTTGTGACAGAAAATTGCCAAAGAGGGGCCAGGTCTTGGTATAGCCCCCATATATCGGTACCTTTCTATATTCGGTATTTTCATGATTTTGGCGATATTATACTCCGGAATGGTTTCAAATTTCGTATTTGAAGTTCCTAATAGGTACTACAGCTTGGGACAGAAAATTGTCTATGTAGGTCTTCCAGGTCTTCGCATAGGCCCCCTATATCAGTACATCCCTATATTCGGTATTTTCATAATTTTGGCGACATTTTTCACCGGAATTTTTTCAAATTTCATATTTGCAGTTCGTAATGGGAAACACGGCTTGTGACAGAAAATTGCCTAAGCAGGTTCAGGTCTTCGTATAGCCCCCATATATCCGTACCTCCCTATTTTCGGTATTTTGATGATATTAGGGACATTATTCACCGGAATTGTTTGAAATTTCGTCTTTGAAGTTTCTAATGGGTACTACAGCCTGTGTCAGAAATCTGTCTATGCAGGTCCAGGTCTTCGTATAGCAACCATATATCAGTACCTCCCTATTTTCGGTATTTTGATGATATTAGCGACATTTTTCAGCGGAATTTTTTCCAATTTAATATTTAAAGTTCGTAATGGAAACCACGGCTTGTGACAGAAAATTGCCTAAGCTGGTCCAGGTTTTGGTATAGCCCCCATATATCAGTACCTTCCCATATTCGGTATTTTGATAATTTTAGGTACAATATTTATCGAAATTGTTTGAAATTTCATACTTGAAGTTCCGAATAGGTACTACAGCCTGGGACAGAAAATTGTCTATGCAGGTCTTCCAGGCCTTCGTATAGGCTCCATATATCAGTACATCCCTATATTCGGTATTTTCATAATTTTAGCGATGTTATTCACCGGAATTGTTACAAATTTCGCATTTAAAGTTCGCAAAGGGTACTACAGCCTGGGACAGAAAATTGTCTATGTAGGTCTTCCAGGCCTTCGCATAGGCCTCATATATCAGTACATCCCTATATTCGGTATTTTCATGATTTTGGCTACATTTTTCACCGGAATTTTTGTATTTAAAGTTCGGAATCGTTGCTACAGCCTTGGAATAGTACCCACATAAAGGTTTCCAGTTGAGCCGGATTTTTCGACGGATTTTTTTTTTTGAAAATTTTCAGGTTTTTTCCAAATGGAGGGAAGCATAAAAATTCGTTCCGGCCGAACTTAGCTGCATTTTTAGTTGTTTTAGCTCTTCTTTCGTAATTTGCTGATTTTTTTCCGAATTCACAAATTCTCCGCTTAAGAATAATACATTTTATGTGACCCGCACTTATCCCACATGACAATAAGTTCCTTGTCTGCCGTTCATAATTTCCTTTTCATTAAAAAAAAAAAAAAAAACACCAAAAATTAGCCAAAGTAAATTATGATCCTGCAGCATGCCAGCAGACTGTAATATTTTCCCAAAATAATTTTCATAAAAATCCGTATAGCAGTAAAAAGAAATTCAAATGATATGCATGCTTTGTGCGAAGCGTGTCCTGAATAGACCACCATTACAACGGCCACCACCACCACTCATTCACAATCTCCTTTCCTTTTTGTGATCGACCACTCGTACGTTGGCCTAGGCCAGCATTAAAGTGCAATGCATTTACGGTTTTCCCTTTGTCATTCATTTCAATTAGATTGCGCACACGCTGCATGCCACCCATTTGCGTGTCCGGGGCAATTTTTTACGCTTCACTGGCGGAATTGGACATTTCTCTTACCAGGCAGTCAGCCAGCCAGTCTCTCTTTTAAGAATCCCGCAGCTTGGGACAAATGAAGGAACATTGTTTTTTTAATCAATAAAAATTAATACAGATTCTTGCAAGCGAAAAACCCTCCCCCTCTCCTTCCACCACTCTTGTTGGAAAAGTAGTGGAGAGGTCGCCCCAGGAAAACTGTAACACAAATTACAAATGAGTTGATCAAGAATGTGAATGGAAATTAATATTGATATGTAAAGTTATGTGTAATGCGGGTAAGGGTATTGCCTTTTCCTCCCCTTCCCCCCCCCCACTCCATTAACATAAGTTCGAATTGAAATGCCTTTCCAACGCTGGCGGTAACATGAGATATTATAATCAAGGGACCTTTCTCAATGCATTATTGTCAATCTGCAAGATGTATATTTTTTTTAAAATATCCATGTATGTGTGTAATTAATCCCTTATGGGGTTACAAGCCCCCCCACTCCACCCTCCATGGAAACATTAAAAATCAAAATCGAAAAATTTAATATCTTTGAATGACCAAAACCAAAGGCATAATTTCCAAATTTAAACACCGGCCAGTTGTCTTGAAAATGTCCAAAACCGGTTGTTGTTTAACGGTAAGGCTCCCCAAGCCAAGATAAGCAACTCCTGTTTTTCGTTCAAAAAAATAAGGGGGCGATGCTGGAACATGCCATGACAAAGGCTTCATTAAAATGAAAATTAAACAAAAAACGATCACTGTAACGAATGCAATCAAGAGCAAAATAACATATATTTATCGGGTAGGAGGGAGGGAGTGATAATTATGGGAAACAAGCGAAGATGAACTTTTTCCCTATAATTTATTGTCAGATGGACTTTTTCCGTATTCCAATGAGCCAGAGAGTCGTCATAGACGAGCTAGTATCCCAGAGAGTTGTCATAAATGAGCTGGCGAGCCAGAGAGTCGTTATAGAGGAGCTGGCGGGCCAGAGAGTCCATACAGAGGGGCTGGCGGGCCAGAGAGTCCATACAGAGGGGCTGGCGGTCCAGAGAGTCCATACAGAGGGGCTGGCAGTCCACAGAGTCCATACAGAGGACCTGGCTGGCCAGAGAGTCTATATAGAGGAGCTGGCTGGCCAGGGAGTCGTCATAGAGGAGCTGGTGGGCCAGAGAGTCTATATAAAGGATCTGGCGGGTCAGAGAATCTATATAGAGTAGCTGGCGGGCCAGGGAGTCGATATAGACGAGCTGGTGGACCAGGGAGTCTATATAGAGGAGCTGGCAGGCCAGGTAGTCAATAAAGAGGAGCTGGCCGGGTCAGTGAGTCGATATATAGTGCAGCTGGCCGGGCCAGTGAGTCGATATATAGAGGAGCTTGCCGGGCCAGTGAGTCGATATAGAGGAGCCGGCCGGGCCAGTGAGTCGATATAGACGAACTGGTGGGCCAGGGAGTCGATATAGACGAGCTGGTGGGCCAGGGAGTCGATATAGACGAGCTGGTGGGCCAGGGAGTCGATATAGACGAGGTGGCGGGCCAGGGAGTCGATATAGACGAGCTGGCGAGCCAGGTAGTCGATATAGACGAGCTGGCGGGTCAGGGAGTCGATATAGACGAGCTGGCGGGCCAGGTAGTCGATATAGACGAGCTGGTGGGCCAGGGAGTCGATATAGACGAGCTGGTGGGCCAGGGAGTCGATATAGACGAGCTGGTGGGCCAGGGAGTCGATATAGACGAGCTGGTGGGCCAGGGAGTCGATATAGACGAGCTGGTGGGCCAGGGAGTCGATATAGACGAGCTGGTGGGCCAGGGAGTCGATATAGACGAGCTGGTGGGCCAGGGAGTCGATATAGACGAGCTGGTGGGCCAGGGAGTCGATATAGACGAGCTGGTGGGCCAGGGAGTCGATATAGACAAGCTGGTGGGCCAGGGAGTCTATATAGAGGAGCT